CGCACAACTCTAAACCCTATGACTACTACTTCACTAAATAGACACATTTATGGATCACAAGTATCACCATTTATAGCACTTCCCCTCGTGCCTAGGGATTCAATGTTCAATCATGGAAACCCGCCAACAAAAACTCACCTTAAGACTCAGATCTTGAATACTCACTCAAGATACTTTCTCTTGATGACTCGTACAAGGAATTCACCTCAAAGGAGGGGATCATGATAAAATCAGAGATGCACATGTGTATTATTCTGTTGATCTACATGTTAGTTTCTCTATGTGATAGTCAAATCATGTACTATTTGTATGTCAATTCTTGGTGTAACTTTTTTGTAAAGGGTGAGGAAGCATCTTTTTTTTTTTCTTTCTCCTAGATCATTTCTTGTTTTTGTATTTGTTTCTAAGATAATATAAAATTTTCAAATATTCTTCATACTCACTAGTCTAACTCTTTCATTCAATTATCTAATCCAAACATGTTTGAAATTTTGATGTAGGATGTTAAGCCTAAGTGAACTGTCCCTTGGCACACCGGTTGTCCCTAGGCACCGGGGGGGGGGGGGGGGGGGGGTACATTGGTAGTTTTAAAAACTAACTGCTAACTTTAAAAATACAAAACTTATATTTTTGGATTTTTTCAGTAACTAAAAAGCAAGCAATACTTTCACCTCATATAAAAGCTAATAAACTAATCAAATGTTACAATAATGGTGATGATAATCTAATCAACACAATAAATATCAATCATAGATTTTCAATAAGCAATTATCATAGAAATAAAATGCAGAAAAAGTAAGTGAAGAAAAATGAAATTCAGAATCAGCACACTAGAATTTAATAATGGTTTGGTCAAATAATGACCTATGTCCACTCCCGAAGTTCTCATCTCCGAGTATTGCACTAAACATTTAGTTTCTCTCATTTAGCCCCCGCAGCTAGGCGAAGAAGCACTTACAATTTTTTCACTAACCTGGTGCGGCAAAAATCCTTAACTTTTTTTTACCCTCTCGGTGAGGGTAGAAAATCTCGACTCCTTTTTAACTCTTCAAGTGAAGGCAGAGAATCTTGACTCCTTTTTTAACCTACAGGTCAAGGCAGAGAATCTCAATAATCTTCGAACTGATTTTTTTCTTCCGAGAGCCACCTAAGAAACCCAACAAGACACTTGTAGGAAATTAAGCTGAAGCTTGCTCAAAGGAACCATGTGAAACCCCCTCATACTCAACTTCCCCTTTTTCCTTTCCAAGGCTCTCCAAGATCTTTTCACCAAGTTCTCTCTCCAAAAAACTCAAACAGTCAAAGACTTGAAAAAAGTAAAATGAAAGAGCATAAATATAAGGCTTCACAAAAGCCCTAAATTTTAATTCTACTTACACTGATCATATAGTATGATACTATATCATATAGTACAATTAGTTTAAATAAGCATGTTAGTACTACACGATGAATAAGGCGTTGTACGGTCAATTCAAAAAATTGAGCTTATTGTCCAGTACGATTTGAGCACCATTTAGTACGATTAATTCAAACGACTTGGATTATCATCTTATACAATTTGTGATGAATAAATATCATCACATACAAAGATTAGGTCATATAATACTATTGGTCCCAATCTCCTATATGATCTGATTGGATCAATTAATCTAAAATTATTCCCTAATTATATGATTAATTTGGGCAAGATTTAATTATATCATATAATATAATAGTACTTATTGTACGATATGATTAGTGCAAAAATTTGAAAATTTAAAATATTGTCTAAATTATGATTGGTGGCTAAGATCTTGATTCAATTGATTGTCTTGTATGATCAAGATCATCTAGTATGATTAGTTCAAATAGCTTTAATTATGTAATTAATTGTTTTAATGATTATCTGAATAGCTGATCATCTAGTATGATAATACATTGTACAATACAATTAGTTAAGAAAATTACACTTCCAATTTTCTCTCTGTCTCACTCCCCTGAGAATGTGTGTGCACGGCCACCAGGTGATAGAAAATTCTTTATGTGAACAACTTGAAGGTATAACTAGGGTTCTATCATGGAGAATTGTCACCTTTAAGTATAAGCTAGATGTCCACTATGTCGAATCTAACACCTCAAACTTGCTCGAGGAGATATATATAATTAGATCATTTATAGAGGACACTTGTCCTCTAGATAAGGATTACATTAGAGATTGTAGATAATGTTTTCTCCTTACTAAGATTGCCAACTCGGCCTCAATGGAAGGTACCTCCGGTATAGGCAGTGCCTCAAATAGATTCATAAATGATGCTCCTTGGTACCCTCATATTCAATGCATATCTTCAAAATCATAGGAGAATGTCACTTTGCCAATGATTAATATATCGTTACCACAAGTCAACTTTGGGGGGGGG